ATACCTGAACCGTCTGAGCCTCGCTTCCAGCATCTTGTCATCAATTTGAGCCATGTGCACCTTCTACCGAATATCATCATTCATAATCTTATCCATTATAGTATGCTCGCACATCCACCACAACATCCTCGTTTGCTACTTTCATCTTTTGGATATGTGAGTTCTTAACAGGCCAACTCATCCAAATACATCATGGCTGGTCTAACTACCGCTTTATAGAACTTACCTTTGAGTAATGGTGACACTCTCTTGTCACACATGACTCCAAAGGCTAACCTCCACTTCATCTATCTTACCCCAATACAGTATGACATCCTTGTCGATCTCCCCTTCCCCCTGGATAGCTAACTCAAGGTACTTGAAGCTACCTCTACTTGGGATGACCTGTGATTCAAACCTCACATCCACGTCTACTTTTCCCGGCTCAGCGCTGAACTTTCACTCCAAACATTCTGTCTTCGTCCTGTTCAGCTTGAATCCTTTAGACTCAAGAGCCTGTCTCCAAACCTCCAGCCTCTCGTTAATACCGGCTCGCGACTCATCAATCAAAACTATTTTATCGGCTAATAACATGCACCATGGCACCTCTCATTGAATATGGTGTATTAATGCGTCCATCACTAGGGCGAATAAGAACGGACTGAGCGCAGAACCTTGTTGTAACCCCATCACAACTGGAAAATGCTTAGATTCACCTTCTACTGTCTTAACCTGACTCTTAGCCCTATCATACATATCCTTAATCGCCATAATATAGGGAACCGACACACCTTTTGCCTCCAAGCATCTCGAGAGAACTTCTCTAGGATTCTTGTCATAAATTTGTTTTTCGAATTTTATCAATCCAATGTGTGATTTATCACCTCAATATACTCCAAATAAGCTCAAATGTGAAACATAACCTCCAAATATCATTTTAAAAAATAAATCTCAATCATTAATTTGTCAAAACAACAATAGATCTAACAAACCCATTTTGCAATTAAGAAGAAAAAGAAGAAGAAACCCCTAAGGAGTAGTAAAAAATGAAGTGGCATAATATATCACCACTATAAAACACCATAAACTACCTTAAAATATGCCCATAAGCACCATGTAAATTTACCGTCACCTTTATTTTCACAACGAATGAGAAGAAGAAGACGAAGACGAAGAAGAAGAAGAAAGAGTGGTATTTGCGTATTCTGTTCTTCTGATCTATCTAGCTGGGAGTGGCTTGCTATGCTTTGTAATGTTGCTACTAATGATTAATAATAAATTTTATTTACAAAAAAAAAAAATGCTTGAAGTTATATAAACTTTGGGCACTAGTTATTTTTTTTTAAAAGTGGGTACAGATTAAATAGGGGCGATCAAATAGGACATCCATCTAATTTTTGTTAAAATAGCACAGAGTAGTCAGTTTTCAGATTGGTCATTCAAAAATAGCCAGCGTTTGCCGAGTCATTAAAAAATAGCCACTATTTTGGTACAATAGAGACCTGTCCAACATAATATACTGGAGTTCGGTGCACCTGTGTATGAACTTCCAGCATATTATGCTGTACCGCTATACTTTGCTGGCTCTAGTATAATATACTAGAGAATGTAGCATTGGTTCTTCAATCTCCAGTATATTATGCTGAACCGGTATATTATAATGAAACTCCAGTATATTTCCAGTATAATATACTGGAACTCCAGTATATTATGCTGGAGTATTTTTTCGGATTTTGAACAGTTTTTTCCTTCAGATTTATCTTTACATGAAAAGTGGCTAAATTTCGATTACTTTTAAAACTGTGGCTATTTTTTAATAACCACCGGTAAATCTGACTATTTTTGAATTTCTCCCCTAATTTTTACACTAGAAAAGGGATCCTTATCGTGTTGATGACTGCGGTCCAGTCGTGAGGCCTAAGGGAATCAAGGAATTTGCAGATCAAGTTAGTGAGTAAAAATAGCACGGTATAGCCAGTTTTCGGACTGGTCATTCAAAAATAGTCAGCGTTTACGAAGTCAATGAAAAATAGCCACTATTTTACTGCAACAGAGACCAGTCCAGCATAATATATTGGAGTTGGGTATACCTGTGTATGAACTCCAGCATATTATGCTGGACCGATATACTTTACTGACTCCAATATAATATACTGGAGACTGGAGCACCGGTGTTCCAAACTCCAGTATATTATACTGGACAATTATACTTGCTGGAACTCCAATATATTATGCTGGAGTTCTAGTGTACTTATGCTGGAACTCCATCATATTATGCTGGAGTTCCAGCATACTTATCTTGGAACTCCAGTATAATATACCGGCGTATTTTTCGGGTTTTGAAAAGTGTTTTCGCTCAGATTTATTTTTACATGAAAAATAGCTAAATTTCAATTATTTTTGAAATTGCGCTATTTTTGAACGACCAGTTATAAATCTGACTATTTTTGAATTTCTCCCTTTGATTAGATGTGTAGTACCAAAATTGAAAAGAAGCAACATAAGAAGAAGATTTGGAGAGGAAGCGGAAGAATAGAAGGATAAAAATGTTAACTTCAATGTTTAATTCTTCAACAAAAATAAGCCTATTTTATATAACTTTAAAAAAAGGGACAAAAATTAAACATTATCCATTCAAAGGGCCAGTTTAGAAGGTTCAGGCTGGGAACTCTCAAAATGGGTCCAAAAGAGAAACCAAAAAGCCCATTTGAAATAGGAAACTAGGAAATGGAGCTCAGTCCAGTATCATGAGGCCCAAAGGAATTCAAAATTTTCGGAAAACGAAAAAGGAGCGGCAACGGTCACAAACACAGCTGTAAACCATTTCAAATTTCAAAATACCATCTGCATTCTGCCGACTCCTCTTCCCCCTCCTATATAAACACTTCCTCCTTTCAAACCCTACTCCTCTTTATTCAATTCACTCCTGTCATAAATTTTCATCTATCATAATCACTATTCTACAACGGTCTCTGCAATTTCTTTGAAAAACAAAAATGAGAGAGTGCATCTCGATCCACATTGGTCAGGCAGGAATCCAAGTCGGAAACGCTTGTTGGGAGCTTTACTGCCTCGAACATGGCATTAAGGTCAATCCCTAATCTCTCTATTCAATCATTTTAGTTCTATTTTAAAAAATTTATGATTATTTGTTTATGGCGGAAATCTGTTCAATTTTTTTATTTTTTGGATATTGACCGTCTGGTGTTTGATAATTTCTCTAGCCGGATGGACAAATGCCTGGAGACGTAACTGTTGGCGGAGGAGACGACGCCTTCAATACTTTCTTCAGCGAAACTGGTGCTGGAAAGCACGTACCTCGTGCTGTTTTCGTAGATCTGGAACCCACTGTCATTGATGAAGTGAGAACTGGAACTTATCGACAGTTGTTCCATCCTGAACAACTCATTAGCGGCAAAGAAGATGCTGCTAACAACTTTGCTAGAGGCCATTATACAAGTAAGAACAAAAACTTTCAACTGGAATTCTTAACATAAAGAAAGGGCGAGTTTCATTTTCTAACGATTTTGTGGTTTTATACGGTGACAGTTGGTAAGGAGATAGTGGATCTGTGTCTTGATAGGATCAGGAAATTAGCGGACAACTGCACTGGGCTACAAGGATTTTTGGTGTTCCATGCTGTTGGTGGTGGGACTGGCTCAGGGCTTGGTTCTCTGCTTCTGGAGAGACTTTCTGTTGACTACGGAAAGAAATCCAAGCTTGGATTTACCATTTACCCTTCACCTCAAGTCTCTACTGCTGTTGTTGAGCCTTACAACTCCGTGCTCTCCACTCACTCCCTTCTTGAGCACACTGATGTTGCTATCCTTTTGGATAATGAAGCCATATATGACATCTGCCGTAAATCTTTGGACATTGAAAGGCCTACTTACACCAATCTCAACAGGCTCATCTCTCAGGTATTAAACTTTAAATAGTTAATAAAGGATTGCTTAGACTGAATAATAGAGTTATTGATTTGGGTGAATCTGTTTGATTTATAGGTTATCTCATCGCTGACAGCATCTCTGCGATTTGATGGTGCTCTGAATGTGGATGTGAATGAATTCCAAACTAACTTGGTTCCATACCCAAGGATTCATTTCATGCTTTCTTCATATGCGCCTGTGATTTCAGCTGAGAAGGCCTATCACGAGCAACTTTCTGTTGCGGAAATTACTAATACTGCTTTTGAGCCATCCTCTATGATGGTCAAGTGTGACCCGCGTCATGGGAAGTACATGGCCTGTTGTTTGATGTACAGAGGTGATGTTGTGCCTAAGGATGTGAATGCTGCTGTTGCCACAATAAAGACAAAGAGGACCATCCAGTTTGTGGATTGGTGCCCAACTGGGTTCAAGTGTGGTATTAATTACCAGCCACCGACTGTTGTTCCTGGCGGAGACTTGGCCAAGGTTCAGAGGGCTGTTTGTATGATTTCGAACTCCACAAGTGTTGCTGAGGTCTTCTCGAGAATTGACCACAAGTTTGATTTGATGTACGCGAAGAGGGCGTTTGTGCATTGGTATGTGGGTGAGGGTATGGAGGAAGGAGAGTTCTCTGAGGCTAGGGAAGATTTGGCTGCTCTTGAGAAGGACTATGAGGAAGTTGGTTGTGAATCTGGTGATGGCGAAGATGACGATGTTGAGGAGTATTAATTAGGTTAATTTCTGTATGTTTAGTTTGGATGATTATGTAGCCAATGGTCTCATTGGTGTACCTAAAATTTGGAATTAATCCATATTCAGTAGGATGATGTGTTGATTTCTGGATATGTAGTTTTGCTATTTTCAACCTTAACAAATTCTAGTGGTTTTATTATTTCCAGCTTTTGCTATCTACTTTGTAATCAATTCCTACAAAGTAATGGCGTGTTATAAAGTTCGATAAGTTTTGTATCTATCACATCGTTTAGTGCCATAACTTTGCCGAAAGAACACGGAAATTGAAATTTTGTGTCAAACGCCACAAGTTCTTGGTTTGAGTAGTAAATTACATTCCTATCGTCTGCTTTTCATATCTTAGGTCGAACATACAGAGACGTGTTCATTAACCTTTTTTTTTTAATTGACAGGTAAGTAGTCACTAGTATTCACTAACTTTGATTATCGTGCTACGTATTTTCTTTTTTAAAGGTACATAGTGAGGAGTTTTCGTCTGTATTCTGCCTACTTTATACGTATTACTGTACAGCAAAACATACAAAACGGAACTGATAAGAAAAGGAACTTCATCTCCATCTCTATTTACATCATCTTCATTATCCCTCTTCCCTGTGGACGGTCGTCTCCCATATTCCTCAGTCGTACAGTAAATCTTCCTGCCCAATTAAACAGATGAAAACTTCAATAATCAGTTTGAATTTTAGACGATTGATCAACTGATTACAAAGCAAACATTCTCACTGAATCCAACTCTATTCTATAAAGAATGGAAAATAATTAGACAAAAAGGTTGAGAAAATAGGACCGTGGTATATACACACCTAGTTTGTGATCAATTAGCAGATTTTATGGCCGTTTTTCCACTAAGAGGTGAAGCAGGCAACATAGGCCTTGACAATAGCATAACAGACGAGGCAACATCTTGATCAACAACTCTCTGCCTAAGCTTCTTGGCTATATCTTCCCCAAGTTGCAAATCCTCTGCTCTAATTCGCATAATTTGACTATGAATATACGCATTCATAGTCTTTTCACTCCACTTCCTAGAAGGAAACTCCATGTCTTTCTCTTGTTGACTCTCCATCTCACAGTTTTTAGAGGAATATATCATTGTGGAAATGATAGATTCAACTATATATTCAGATGAAGTTTTGAGGCAAGCAAAGTGATGATAAAGAAAACAAAAGTATGCCGCTATATGGTTGTCATTTTACATTGGAAAGTATTTATAGTTGTTACATGTGTCCTTGTTAATTACAAATACACGGTAGTGATATATGTGTGTGCGTCTACGGTGGGCCGGTGGGGAGCTGACTTACCTGCTGAGTTACGCATTTTAGGTGGAGCTAGGCAAAGGCTTTTACCTGGTTGACACGTATATAGGGGCTGCCAAATTTTTTAATTAGAGGTGAACTTCACGTGTTGACAAGTCATATGCTGTTGTTGCGTATGACTAGGTAAGAATTTTTTAAATCTTAACTAATTTTTGGTTATTAAATCTTTACTTATTGAACTAGGTAAGAATTCATAAATAAAAACATTAAATTTAACCTTGTATTGGAAGAACTTAAAGAGAGAATAGTCTAAATACGTATGAAAAGGCTTTGAAAAAATTTGGATTTAAAAAAATCGAAAGATTATAAATTCAAGAGTCCACTTTGACTCNTTTTTTATTTACTTTTCATATCATAAATCAAACATGTTGTTTAATGTAAAATTTACGTGAGTTTTCAACATACCTTATAATATTAAGTATAATAACTCATATTAAAAGGACATAACCAAAATTCTAGATATTAGCCTCATAATCCTATCAGTTTTAGGAACATAATACTATACGTTAGGAATTCTATTAGTATAATTACTTTCGGGCTGTCTAATTCATATAAAATTGAACAAGTAAATGTATTTAGTCATGTAATCTTATTACTTTTAGAATATACTTCTTAAAAATTTCTATTAATAATTTAATTTTAAAACATATTATAATGTCCTATTACTAATTTAACTTGAGAATGTATTATATTGTCCAAATTCATTTAGAAAAAAGAGAGCCTATATTATTATAAAAGCATAAATACAATATTAATATACCAAAGTAGCCTTAAAATATTAAACGGAAGAACTCATAGGGATTATATAACTGCAATAACTTATTTTTTGGACTACAATACATTCTACGCTAATTTTTAATATTTAAGATTTTAAAATTAATAAATTTTGGTCTATTAAATACTTACTAAAAATATGTAGGAAGGTTTAATAAAATTAATTTCATAAGAATCCTCCGTATTGGCAATACATTATCACTCCATAATATCCAATACAAAAAAAATAAAATTAATATTAAATGGACCGCATAAAGAGTCGAAACTGAGGGGTAAAGAAAATACTCCCATGCTAATATATTTTAATATTATATTTGAACTATTTTCCTACTCAAATAATATATTTTTTATTAATTTTTTGTGTAATATTTAAATCCCAATTATTAAATAACAACTAAGAAAATATTTAAGAATATAAATGTGTGAGAAAGAAAAAAAATCGTTGGTAAGAGTAAATACCACTAATGATTCTACAGACGTAACGATCTAAAAGTGAAATGTCATATCAATATTTTATTCTTTGAAAATAAAATTTATGGTGGATAAAATTATAATTAATATTAAATATTCAAAACAAGAGATGAACTAATATTAAGATCTGATCAACATAGAATAAATTATTTTTTATGTTAAAACCAAATAATTAAATCTTTTAATTTTATTTAGCAAGAGAATTCAATTCAATTATTTTTTAAATTCATCATATGAGTAAAATTATTATTCAAGTTAAAAAAAATCTTAGGGAACATATATTTATTCCATAAAAAGAGCGTTAGAACACAAAATAAAAATGTTAGTATATTATTAAGAATCAAAATGATATACAAGTGTCTGAAGAAGCACAATCAAAGCTAAATCCTAAAAACGAACAAGCTTTCAAGACTATATTATAAAGAGTTGACTCTGCTATAACGAGACTATTCTTTGTAGATGCCTCCGGCGGAATCGAAATAATATTTCTATGTAATGCGTTACTTGCAAATATCATATCAAGAGGCATGAAGCTGTTAGCAATAATAGCAAGTGGTGTGCCAACAACTATTTTATTGTGAGACCACCCACTTTAGATTTGATATACCTCTTCAAACAATTTAAATAACCATCACAAATATATCAAAGCAGGCAATGATGCTAAATTTATAAGGAAAGCAAAATTGATAATATGGGATGAAACACTTATGGCTAAGTGTCAAACGATCGAAAAAAATGCCCGGAGTTCTAGAGATATATTGGATATTAATGAACCGTTTGATCATCATTTAGATGATTATTGTATTATTATACATAATTTTTTTTTAATTAAATAAATTTTATTGTTCATTCGTATAAATAAATATTTAAATCATCACGTGTCATTATTAGCGTGCAATGCACGTTGATAGATACTAGTTAAATAAAAAAAGGCAACGGCAATCTAGTGCACGAAGCATTCCGCGTCTATGCAAGATTCGTAAAAAGGCCGTACCTCGAGGGAGTGTGATGTAGGTAGTCACTTTCGATGGCTGATTCTACGACTCAAACCCACCTATAAATTACACAAAGACAAATTATAGGAATGCACCGATGAAAATAAGTTGTACTATCTATTAAAAAGCTAATCTAAATTGTTAGTGGCGAGAAGTTTGTTAAAAGTAAATTACGTGATCAGTGGAGATATATTTCAACCTGATTTAGCTGGTGCATATGCATTTTAGGTATATAGAGGAAGACTTTTGCCTGGTCGCATGTGTAAGGTTGCTGAACTTTTAATTAGAGATGTACTTCATATGTTGACAAGTCATATGTCATTGTTGAGTTAGTGATCAAGATTTTAGATCGAGTAAATCAGGAAAACATGTAAATATATTACGATAAAAAGATAAATCGTATAAAACGTGTCATATTTTGTACAAATATCAATTAATATAGGCACGCAAATAAATGTTATCTAAAAAACTAGCCCAAGCTATTGATGTCGTTGACTTTTTAAATTCGTTATAAGAAAATTAAATTATTCTAAAATTATTTCTTTCTCCAACAATTTGTATTAATATAAACTAATGCTACTTCATTATAGTTTTAAACTTGATTGATTAATTTAGGAAATAATTATTATTTCAAACTATTATTCTAATGATTAAGTATCTGATTTTCCCCTCTGCTATCATAAATATGCTTTATTTTCCCGTCTCAGTTTTCTATCAAAAACACCCCCACTGTTATACATTAGGTTTATATGTATCCTTTACACGTTAAAAATACCCTCCCAACTTTTAACATCCACATGATGTTCCTTTATTGGACAAACTGACCCGGCCTTCTTTTTTATTTTTAAATTCAAAATCTGCTCGATCGCAGCAACAAAACTACACCCATCCATTTAAAAACCTTTTTTCCATCTCACTATCTCCTCTCTCTATCTCTCTAACATAAAGAGACCAAAATCTAGTTCATTAACATTGTGGCAACAAATTCAATAAATATTGCCCATAAAATCATAATAAAGATCTTGATAACAAAAATCCCTATGGTGAAAAACCTTCACAACCCAATGTATGAAGTTAAGAATAAAGCATGTGGGAGAGAGACTTTACAATGGGCGATTTGTTTTTCTCTAAGTGAACCCAAGGTCTTTTTCATTTGAGAGAGGGAGATATTAGATGATAATTGAGTATTTTAACTGATGGGTGCAGTTTAAGACGTTGGATCGGGTGGGTTTGAATTAGAAAATAGGGTGGGTCAGTTGATCCAATAAGGGGATGCCACATGGATTTTAAAAGTTGCAGGGACAATATTTTTAATGTGTAAGAGATAAATATGCACTTAATATATAATTATAGGAATATTTTTGATAGAAAATTTAAATGGGATAAATGAAGGCTATTTATGATAATAGAAGGACAAATCAGACCTTGGACCGTTATTCTAAATATATTTGACCAAGGTTGAAGCAGATATTGATTGGAATGAAGAGACAATTTTACTTTCAGATATATATATTCTCAATCTTATTTAATTAATGGAACGCCTATTCAGCAAGCTAGACGATACATTCGTGTATAAAAACATTTAAGAATCTTCAAAATGGCCTAAGTGGATTGCAAAGATTGGATCATAGGTCTCTGTCAAATCTGCACAGTCCCATTACCGTAGCCAAATGTTCAAAAACTGATAAAGACAAAATTTTTAGCAATAATGCAACTACAGGTGGTGTCCAAATGGCAGGTGAATTACAATTATGGGTGAGTCAAATGGTCATACTAGGATTTCTGCATGAGGTAATTGGAAAACAAGTGGCATCTTTTTTTAGCAATTAATGAAGAAGAAGGGGGAGCCTACTGTGAAGTTTCAAGAAAAGGAATTGAGTATCATTATAGGCTGTGTTTTAAGTGAAGGAGAGAGACAGAACTTGCTAGGAATTGAATCAATAGGCTCAGGGGCATGCCCTGTATCCGCTGCAAGAGAATCCGCTCTGATCAAAGAGCGAACAACTGCTAAATTTAATGATTTGGCGGAATCTTACAGATGTTGTGGCTGGTGATCCGCTTCTCCTCCTTCGTGACAGATATTTCAGAATTAAGCCTAAATGTTTACAATCACTATCTATAATATTCAAGATATTGAAATTACCAGACACGTGGAATTATTGGAAAGTGCTAAAACTTCTGGTCTCACACAAATACACGATTATTAAGCTTACTTACAGAATCAATCAAAGCAAAACCAGAAATATGACTGCATCTAAAGAGATACAAATAGTTCAAAGATAATTTTGAAAGTAAATTTATTTACAAAAAACAAAAACAAAAAAAAACTGAGTGATAACGTAAGACTAAATGAATACTAACATATTAATTACACTGATAATACATATTTGCACTATCGAGATATACAATTTAAATCCTTAACGAAGCACATGAAAACAGTCCAAACCCAATCTGATAACCATAAAATGACTTTGCGCGTATAACTAAAAAATGTTCACCTTTAAAGTGGATTCACCTTTTTGATGAATGTATTTTCTTTATTGAGATTAGTACAACGTTATGTTGAAGACAAATGTTGCAGTTGCAGAAGTGAATTACCAATACACGTATGGCTCACAATTTTATGTCTCTTTCAA